AAAGCCAATCTCACCTGACCCTGAGCATGTGCCGATGCCGCACTTTCTTGTTTCGCCAAGGCTTCATGAGGCACGCAGAATCAATGAAGGCGGGTACACGATTGATGCGGGCTACGCTGCAGTCAGGTTTTCGGAGCTCCCCGAACCATGTGGAGAAGCTGAGCAGATCGCATATGTTTGCGTTGGATTGCGTTTCGTTGCTTTTTCTGTGTTTCCTTTACTGTGCGACGCGTTACCGAAAGATCGCCATCGTCGATTGTGTCAGAAAACTGCGATGCATCCTGACCAAGCAAGCTTTACTGTTGGTGCCTTTACCCATGGTGGTGTGTCTGGCATTCGAGTTGGGACGCGGACAAATCCATGGTGCACACTCTTGTTGGTCGCGATTGTCAGGTCCAACGTGCCAGGGGGCGCATTTTCGAGCATTACCTTGATGCGGAACATCAAGTCAAGTCTGCACTCTGATTCACGCAACGACAGCGCTTGTCCGAATATCCTGTTGCCTTGCTCCAAGTGGCAGGGCGGCGAGCTATGGGTACAGGATCCCTCCGGCAGCGTGTTGCTTCCAAACTCAGGGGCGGTTCGTGGTCGCTTGATTCCCATCGAGTATCCTTTCACATGTTTCGATGCATCAATCCCTCATGCCACTTGGGATTGGGTGGGATGTCGAATAATTTTGATCGCGTACCACGTGCAGGGCACGGCAAGGCTGACAAGTGATGCCGCTAGCTTGCTGCGTAAGTTTGGATTTAATGTGTTACCTGAACGCGCAAACACAGACCCCTACGAGCCACACATGCAGTGGTGACATTTTTCATGGCTTGACCTTCGTGCCAGCTGAGCCGGCAGTGAGGCTTGACTTGCCCTAACTTGAGACTTGATTTGTTTTATTAGCTTTAGGGCTTTAGGATTTTAGGAGCTTAGCAGCAGAACTGCTGACGCAGTGAGCTGCGTGAGCAAAACGTGTTGAGCTGTGATGATTAAGCAGAGCGGGCAGAGCGTCATTTCTTTAAAAACTTAAAATAAAAACGCTGCCGTGCCAGGACCAGACGGAGAAGAACCTTGATGAGAAGACCAAGACATCGGCGGGCAAGAGTTTCAAGAACGTTACTGGCGAGGAGATCAGCAGGGATGCTGCTGGGGATCATAATGATGACAGCAAGCTAGCGCAAGACAAGGTCGACCCAGTGACAGCGCAGTTTGCCGATGGCGCCGCCACCGACGGTGAGAGCACAGAGAGCGAGAATGTTCCGTGCGAGAAGCACACCGCGGAGGCGAGTCAGTACTCACATCATACCTAACTTGCCAATGAGCTTAAAACCCTGAACCCTAAACTCACTAAACTTAAACCCTAAACCCTAAACTTAACTAAACCCTAAATCCGAAACCCTAAACCCTAAGCCCTGGCCCTAAACCCTAAACCTTAAACCCTAAACCCTAAACCCAGAGCCATCAAATCAAATCAAGTAAATAGTAAATATCTACGTTTCTATTTTCTAACGAGCAAGTCTCGATATCTTTTTTGAGTTTAAATTTCTTAGTCTGAATTCTTTTTCTTATTGGATTTGATTCGTAAGATGCTTAAAAATTAATAAGTGTTCGACCTGCTACCTGCAAAACTGCGGAGGACACTGAAGAAGAAGCTGGTGATCAGTGCGTCAGTGATGCCGAGATGGAGATTAATGAATTTGCTTATCCCAAGCCGCCAGAGCCTGACAAGTACCCGCGAATTGCCGACGTAGTGAGAAGTGCAGCGAAAGATCCTTGGCGGCTGTGAGTCTCCAGTATATGCGGTGTTCAACATTTAAACTTTAAACTTTAAACTTTAAACTTTAAACTTAAATTCTAGATTTGGGATTCTACTTGTTTTGCTGTTACTTGTCCAGGCAATGATCAGCGCACTGGCGGATCAGGTGAAGGATTTTGGGGCAAAGATCAGGGCTCTTCCACGTCGTTTGGTGGCTGGTGATTGTTTCACAGGAGTGGGAACTTGCGAGCGAGTCATGGACGAGGTGGTTGCCCAGTTAAACAGGCATCTCGCCAAATGTGGCATGGGCCACACGGAAGACCTCGAGGCAACGGCTATTTTGTAACTTTCACTTTCGCTGCATTCGTTCATTTCATTTATTTCCATGAAACGAAACAAATAGTTTGCGTGCCTCAGCCTGCCTGATGGCAAGGTGCAGCACGAGTTTATGGCCGAATGGATCGGGTTCAAACAGAAACATCTTGTGAGACGTCTGAACAATGCAGACAAAGCAACGTGCTGCCTGTTCCATGATGCTTGCAAATTGACCACTGAAGAGCGGCACTGTGTTCGTCACAATGCTTGCTGCGATTCTCGGCGGCGAACCTCTGTCATTATGCTTTGTCTGCTTTGTAGAAGAATTACATACACGAAAAGTCTATGTTAAAGTAAAAGACTTAACTTAAATTGGTTCTTTTGCTTTGGAGAATTTTTTTCACAACTAGGATCTGCCTTCATCCTTGTGGTTCTTCAATGGAGGCTTCTCATGCAAATCGTTCAGCAAGCTTCATCCGGATGCAAAGGCGATGAAGAGTGCGATGAAAGACGATAACCAGGACTGCTCATGTAAGGTCCAAACTTAGTCCAAACCAAACCTCATACATAGCCTAGCTAAAAAAATATATCTAAGATCGCTAGCGGCCAGTGTAGCCTGTGACTCGCGACTATCGATTTCCCGGTCCCCAATATCGTATTCCAGATTGGTTTCTGATTTCTGAGGATGCCAGTTCAGTGACAACGTTCGAGGCCTGCAGATCAGCGATCCAGCTGTTTTTGCCGGCTTGGTTCCTCTTAGAGAACGTCGATATCGACTCAGGCACGGAGAAGGACAACGAATCCAAGTCGAATTCCAATTTGACTTTGATTCTCCAAGCGCTGACGGCACTTGGTTACACCGTCCGAACCTTCTTGCTGAACTCGCAAGACTATGGCGTGCCGCAAAGGCGCGTGCGCCTCTACTTTGTCGGGTACCGGACTGCAACACAAGGCCAAGCAAATTTTCAACGTTTGGAACGCAACCTTCAAAAGTGTCGTCTGAAGTGCCAGACGCCGGCTACCAGGCGAAGAAGTAGTATGGTGGTAATAATACTACTTCTTCTTCTACTACTACTTCTACTACTACTACCATTTGACTAAGACTACTACTACTACTACTACTACTACTACTACTACTACTACTACTACTACTACTACTACTACTACTACTACTACTACTACTTCTACTACTACTACTACTACTACTACTACTACTACTACTACTACTACTACTACTACTACTACTACTACAATTAAGTACAATGATTTAATTTTTTCTTTTTTTCATTTATCATGATTCATGATGCAACATGCGGCTTTCCGAGGCTGATTACATGCTGCCGGATGACTCTGAGTCTGTTAAGGCGGAGCTCGAGCGTCGCGCAGACATGCGTGCGAAGAAAGATGAGCAGAAAACCAGGGAGGCAAGCAAGGAGAAGGACGGTGGGGATGACGATGGCATCGATGACGTGAAGGACAAGTCGAAATGGCAGGCCCTGCACATGTCCATTGCTGAGAGCAGATTCCTGGCTCAAAGTTTCTGACTCTTAGTTCTGAGTTCTCCGTGCTTTTTTCAGAAATTACAAAGAGTAAGGGGGAATCCAGTGGCCGCTGCGCATTCCAGATGCGTTGCGGAACAATCCTTGGTACAACAGCATGAGCTCCCGTGAGCAGGAGGCTGCTTGGCCGAATCGAATCTGTTCTTACTACGATAAAGTAAGTAGATAACGAGAAGTAGAGAGGAACAGAGAAATAAAGAAATAGAGACATATGAGAAAAGAAGAAATAAAGAAATAAAGAGAAATAAAGATAAAGAAATATAGAAATAGAGAAGTAGAAATATATATATATATATATATATAAATTAAAAAAAAATCATAGAGAAATAGAGACATAGAGAAATAATGAAATAGAGAGAGCGAGAGAGAGAGAGAGAGAGAGAGAGAGAGAGAGAGAGAGAGAGAGAGAGAGGGGGAGAGAGAGAGAAAGAGAGAGATAGAGTGCTGGATGGTGTTTAGTATTTGATTGAAAACTTGAAGAAACAAACAGCCATTTTCAGCTCAGAACTACATCTTCCTGCTGGACGCACGCGACACGCTGCTCAAACTTGGCAAGCCTCCAGTGCGATACGGCGACGTCTGCCACAACGCCAACCGAACTCCGACGTCCACAAGCGAGGTGATGTAAGAAAACAGATCTGCTGAGAAGCTGAGACACTAGCAATCATATCATTATGTCATTATGTCATGCTGAAATGCTCAAAGAATAAATTATTTGCAGGTGCTGCCGACCATTCTGCCGGGTTCGAAGCTTGTCGACTTGGAGAGAGGCAGAATGCTGCTGGGCTCCGTGGCGTTCAAATTAAAAAAACATAACATAATCATAATAACACAAGGTATTTGCTCGTCGGGGAAGTGTAAAGTCTAGTGAGTCTAGAGTCTCGAGTCTGGATGGTAGGGTAGAGTTTGCGCAGAGTGGATTCAAGTCCATGTTGAAGTTAATAATTAGTTTGACTTTTGACCCACGGTTCATGGTAAGTTGAGGTCGAGAGCTTTTGCACTTGCAGGGCATTCAGCTCAGCTGGGCAGAGCGAGAGTGCTTGTCGGAGCCACAAATGGGAGACATGGCCGGCAATGCGTTGCTAGGTACGCCGGGAACATGTTGTTTTTTGTCTTTAGTCAGTTGTTCGTCTGCTATGCCATGTTATGATTTGCTATGCTATGTTATGTTATGTCACGTCAGTCTTATAAGTCTTATATGATTTTTTGTTTTATGCTATGTTATGTTATGTTATGTTATGTTATGACATTGAAGTTCATTCTAGATTCTAGCTTAGAAATTCTAGCTAGCTACTTCAAGCTTCAATTGAGCTGCCATGTTGCCAAGATTCACATCTACGGTGTTCTTGGCTGTCTTCTTGTGTGGGATGCTTGAGCTCAGCTACAACACAGAAAGTGAAGAAGAAGAGATGGCAGGATTGGAGGACCTCACAGCCGCGCTACTTGCAGATTGCAGAGTCAACGGTTTATTGATTTCAGTCTAGCCTAGTCGAGTCCTTAGGCCTTAGGTCCAAACCTGAAAATCATATTGAGGCTCAGATGCTCCAGGCGCAAGTGATTTCTGTTGGCATCGCCTACTTCTTGACCTGCATTGTCCTGAGCACTTTGTTTTGCCACGTTTTGCCAGACGTCAAGAACGCCGCCAGGGGACGAGCATGAAGGGAACGTTAAGTGAAGTCAATTTAAGTTGGAGCCTAAGTCTAAGGCTACTGAGCGTTGCAAAGCTTGACAGATTGGCCGTTGGTGTGTACAGCGCGTGATCAGACGATCCGAACCGGACCCATGAGAACATGACGTGTTGAAAGCTGCAATCAAAAAGAAGGAGCCCAGTTCATGCAGTTCTGGCATAGCGCTCGATGTAGCCAGTCATCAGTCACGCTGCTTACGCAAAGTGAAACTTTAAAAATTGAAGTAAGTTCCTAGTTTGTAGATGGTATCATTAAATGAAACTTTAAGACTTTAAGACTTAAAGACTTAAGACTAATTCGAGGTGCGAGGCGGCTTTCAGTGATTCAGCGTGATGTGTTCACATAGTGTAGGTATGCATACACGCGCGCGCACGCGCGCGCGCGCGCGCGCGTGTGCGCTTGCTTGCGCGCTTGCTTGTGCGGCTTGGGCGTTTGCTTGCTCGCTTGCTTGCTTGCTTGCTTGCTTGCCTGCGCGCGCGCGCGCGCGCGCGCGTGTGTCCGTGCTACTCACTCGCCACGCGCGTCATGAAGTGCACGCGTTGCGCGCTCTCACCGCTCCTACTGTCGCACACCCGCGCGTAGCGACCGCACCACTGAGTGCGCATGGATCCTATGGCATTCACAATGCATTCCTCTTGGATCTTGATAACCTTAAACTCTAAACCCTGAACCCTACACTAAATGTTCACCCTGAACCCTAACCTGAAACTCTAAACCCTGAACCCACCCCCAAATCCTCAGTCGGCTCATGTTGTCTGCGTCTGGGGACTCTTCTGTTCAGCAGTCGGATGAGCGCCGTTTCGGGACAGGCGGACTCAGGGGTGCTTTGAGGGAACTCAGTGCTGCTTTTCGGGGCTTTTAGGGTTTAGGGTTTAGGGTTTAGGGTTTAGGGTTTAGGGTTTAGGGAACCAAGTAAGTTGGTCATGTGTCACTGGTACTTCGGAAAGCCAGCAAAAAGGCACATGTCGCTACTTCTATGCCAACTTGCGAATTCGAGCCTTCATTTCAGGGGGATTCTGCTATACTTGGGGACAGCTACTCTACGTGGTGGAGAAGCTTCAACACTTCAACAGCTGGATAGTCGGCGGTGTCACTGCACATGTCAAGATGAAATGTTTAGTGTTTAGGGTTTTCAGGGCTTAGGGTTTCTAGGGTTGCGGGCATAGGGCTTAGGGTCCAGGGTTTAGGGTTCAGGGTTCAGGGTTTAGGGTTTAGGCTTTATGCTTTATTTAGACTCTTAGAGAGTCTGGAAGATGTTCCTCACCATGCCTGAAACGACAGAGCCGTCCCAGTTTCAGCAGCTCCACAGTGGGCCAATCGCCACACCCAACGACTCTGGGGGGGGGGGGGCCCATAGGCCCTAGAAACCCAAAACCCACGTCCCCTCATCCCGAAACCCTAAACTCTAAACCCGAAACCCTAAACCCTGAACCCTAAACCCTAAACCCCAAACCCTGAACCCTAAACCCTAAACCTGAAGAGGGCTTGCGGGCCTGTAGGACTATCAAAGCAGCAGGCAGGATCATCCACGCCATCGGGGGAAAACGCACCTGCATCTGCGGCGGACTTGGGGTTTATGGTTCAGGGTTCAGGGTTCAGGGTTCAGGGTTCAGGGTTCAGGGTTCAGGGTTTAGGGTTTAGGGTTTCATGGTGCCCTCATGGTGCAGCCCCGATAAACCCTTCAAGCCCCCCAAAAAGGCCCTAGGCCAAAACTCTGTGAACTGGTTTAGGGCTTACACCTTTGGGTTTAGGGTTTAAGGCTGGTTAAGATGTTCAGCTTGTATAGGGTTTAGGTTGTTTATTCTAGGGTTATATAGGGGTTGTTGAGCCTCGGTCACCAGGTCCCTGGTGCTTCTCATGAGTGCATAAATGTGTGGTGTTGGTGCCTGGCCATAGGTATTTGGCGCAGACCCTATACATAAACTTCCCGTGAACCCTAGACCCTAATTCCCGCCGACACCCCTGAAAGCCCTGTAGGAGCTAAACCCCAAACCCCAAAGGTCTAAGCCCTATAAACCCCAACCCTGAACACCAAAGCCCTTTAAGCCCTATAACCCCAAACCCTGAAGCCTAAAACCCATTCAGGGGGTCTAATCTCGGAGCCTGTCAAGTCACGAAGTGCCCCCGTCGCCCGTGCAACTTGAGTGCTTAAACCCGGAGCCCCCAACCCTGAAAACCCTAAAGCCCTGAACCCCTAAAGCTAAAGCCCTAAACCTCCAAACCCTAAAGCCCCCAACCCCTAGACCCTGAAGCCCATCAAAGCCAAACCCCCTATTTCCTGAACCCCGAAGCCCTAAACCACCTCAAGGATAAAAACAAACATGTGTGCCACCCTAAACCTAAACCCCAAAGCCCAAAGCCCAAAGCCCAAAGCCCAAAGCCCAAACCCCAAACCCCAAACCCCAAACCCCAAACCCCAAACCCCAAACCCCAAACCCCAAACCCCAAACCCATGCTTGCTACTTCCACGCGCTGGGCTCCGGCCCTGACCAAGCTGATGCCGCTCGCAGGTCGGGGGGGGGGGGGGGGGTTAGGGTTTAGGGTTTAGGTTTAGGGTCTAGGGTTGAGGGTTATCTTATGCCATATGCCCCGCTAAGCCAACATATAACCCATGTGAAGGGACCTTGAAATAGCACAACATTTTATAAGGCTTAACTTTAGCCAAAAAGGGGGTCTAGGGTGCAGGTTCTGGGCCGCCTTGGTCCTTTTGAGTATGAGGGGGCAGTAGACAGGTCCCAGGTGTCCGTCCTACTGTCACTGGGTTCACGAGGGTTTAGCTGTTGGAATGACACGATCCTCCAACAACCTCGCCGTGGTTTTGGAGGATTCTCTGAAGATCAAAGCCCGTGGGATCGTTTCTTTTTAGCTTTTTCCGAAGTTTTGGGTGGCGCCAGGAACGTCTCCATGTCCCTGGCAGCACTCCCTACTAAGCCCATGCCCGAGTCCCTACAGCGTTCTCCAGCCATTAAAGCCCTTAGTTCTTGAACCCTAAACCCTAAACCCTAAAACCTAAACCCCAAGCCCTGAATCCTAAACCCAAAACCCAAAACCCTAAACCCTAAACCCTAAACCCCAAACCCCAAACCCTATTCCTAAACCCCAATCCTGCTTGCAGTCCGCACTGCTCCCCATGCCAGCCGGGCGGCTGCCTGGGGCATCCGAAAGCTCAGTGAGGTGCCTCCGGCGCGCAAAGTGTGTAGGGTTTAGGGTTTAGGGTTTAGGGTTTAGGGTTTGGGGTTTGGGGTTTAGGGTTTAGGGTTTAGGGTTTAGGGCTCAAGAACATATAAGGGTTTAGGG